GTTTCATAGACAAATCTTTACAATAGCAGGTTACTCTGTCTTTTTCTTAGGAGTGAATGTAATTTCGAACTACCGATCTTTCATTTAGTAGAGGATACTTAACCACTGCTCCTTAAACTCTAAGCATCTCTGGGAAAAAAATGTAGGAAGTTGGCTGCTTCACCCCATGAACTTACCCCCTTCTTATCCATCTTAACTCCCTGAAGGAAAATCCTGCTGATGCCCTGACCTCATCAGCTCATAGCCTGTCTGGATAGAGCTGCACAAAACTCAGCAGATTGGTGGAAGGGGAAAAAAACCCCAAACAAACCCAAACCCAGTTATCTTCCAACTGATTCCAACGGCTGGCAGTCCACATGTTTCAGAGTAGACCCGTTCCCACTAGGGTTTTCAGGCTGTGATCTTTCTGAGAAAGGATGGTGCCTCTGGGTGGGTTTGAACTATCAGTCTTTAGGCAGTAAGTAGTCTAGTGTTTAGTCTCACATACTTCGGACATGTTGCTAGAAGAAACTATTTCTTGGAGAGGTACATCATGCTTGAAAAGGTGGAAGGTTGGTGAAATATAGGAAGCCCTTCAATCAAATGGACTGACATAGTGACTGCAGCAATGAGCTCAAGTATGTCAGACTGTGAGCATGGCACAGGATAGGACAGGATTCAGACCTGTTGTTCACAGGGTTGCTATGGTTCGTACTCAGCAGCACCGAACAACAACAATCTAGAGGTTAATCATTTCCACCACTCTCAGACTGAAGGGGCATCCAATTGTCTTCATTTTATAGACTGGGCAAACCCACGGTGTTGAGAGGCAAAGATCCCCGCAGGGCCACTCCTCAGGCACAGATTCTGATAGTAGTACTGTGGTCTTCCTGTGGAATAATCGGAGAAGCCAAAAATTCCCACACATGCACAATCACTGTTTACAATAATCATGACTACTGTCCTCCTAATGCCTGGGGAATCCCCTCCCTCCCACCAGTTCCTCTTTAGATCAGCCTCCATCCCTCTTTGTCAGGGTGACTGACTTAAGGAAAGAACCTGAACACCCACCCTCTCATCCCAAACAGGCTTCCGGGGAAAGACCATGGCAGTCTCCTAACCTTTAACAGAGAAATCACCCTTCACTCTATGATAATCATTTGACAGCGTCATTGTTCAAAGCAGCTCTGCGGTTGATACTACCGTCCTCGTTCTGAGATGCGGGGATTGAGAGTTCCTGATGAGGAATTCCTAAGCCACGGCCAAAACCAGCAACTGACAGGGCTGAGACTCGAACCTGCTTCGATCTGATTCCGTGCGCAACCTTACTAATTGGCCCCGCCCACCGGGCAGACAGATCACATGAAGACAGATCAATCTGGGTGACTGAGAAAGTAACTTAACCTCTTACAATGCCAAGGTCAGCAGCTTTACTTTTAAGGGGAGAAAAAGTGTATGCCATGCAAAAGAGACGCCAACTACCCACAGGCGCCAGGTCGGTCTTTCCCCTAAGCCCCGGGGCTTTCTAACGCCGAGTGTGGAGGGCGCACCTCCGGGACCGGCGAAACCAGGCGCCCAGCCGGCTAGCAGAAGCGAAACCTCAACATCCTCCAGCTTCCCCCGCTCTGTTCCGAGAACCAGCAAGGCAGGCTTCGCGGAAAGGCGCCCGGTGACAGCAGTCTCGGGGCTGCCCCGACCCTAGCCCGCAGCCCCGGCCGGGAGGTGCAGGGGCCGGCGCGGTCGGGCCCGAGCAGCAGCACAGCGCGCGCTTCCGCCCCGCTCGGCTCCGGCGGCGGCTGCCTCGGCCCCACAATCCCCTTCTGGCTCCGGGGACGGGTGGGGCGGGGCGGGGCGGGCCGAGCGGGCGGAAATAATTTTCTGTTTGGTCGGCGCTGCCCCAGTGCCTAAACCTGGGACGCGCGAGATGGTTTTGGATGCGGGAGGCGGGAAGTGGGAGCGGGAACGCGCTGCCTTGACACGTTTAGCGGGGCGGCAAAGGGAGTCGAGGATGGCAAGGACTGAGCGCCTGCTGTGTACCTTTGCGCTTTACATAAAGGTTTTTCCACCCAAGACAGCCTTTCCAAGATGATATTCGCGCTTCCATTTACAGAGGGGCAAACTGAGGTGTCCGAGAAGGTGAAGTCACCTCGCCGTAAATCGCACAGCCAGGATCTGCGAGAGACTCCCAGAAGCATTGTTTAGTTATGCCAAGGAACGCGCGATGAACTTGAATCAACTTGTTGACTGAGCCCTGCTTTCGCTCATGTTTTGTGGATCAGCGCATAGTAGATGCTCAGTAAAATGTTGTAAACTAGAGGATGAGCTCAAAAGCTCAGCTCTGGGGATTTCTGCTGCGAACCCACCTCAACTCACTGGGTACCGGGTTTCCCCAGACTTTAAAAGGAAGCTTTTGCTGATGGACGCATAGAGAAGAGCTTGGCCTCTCAATTCAGCACAGACATCCAACAAACACGTAGTGACAGAGTCGCAGGCGGACGAACTGGGTTCAAACCCTGGCTCTGCCGCATTCAGGTTGGGGAACTTTGCACGAGTCACTTTATATCCATCGGAACCTCAGAAGCATCATCCTTAAAACTGAGATATTAGAGGGTGAAACGAAACAATGTTCTTAAAACATTACACGCAGGTATGGTCTACCGTTAAGATACACATGCCTCAGAGGCGGGCACTGGGCATCAACAGGGGACCCAAGACAAAGGTTCCGGCTACTGCCTTCCAGGGTGCACGGGACTGCGGACCCTAAAGTGAACTCTCTCGTCCTACAAAACACAAGACTTGAGCCATCTCTGTCCTGGTCAGACTGGAAGGCATATATTCAAACATGAAGCCAGCTGGTGGCTAAGACTAATAGTTTGGCGTTTCATTTTCTCGCAGTTTTATTTTTTCATTAATGGTAATTCGTTAGCAACTCCTAAGTGATACTCCTGTCCTGTGCGATCTTAAACTTTTCGTAGGAGCGAAGTTAACAGGTCATAGTAAGATTCTGGCGGGTGGCAGTCTTCGCCGGGATCCCCGCCCTCGGATGCGTCCTGGACAATCCCCTGACTTTCTGCCTTACTCCCCTCCGGCATGGAAAAGAAGTGTCCCTTCTGCCCTCCTCGCGCGTTTATCCCGAGCACCTTCGTCCTGGCAGCCCTCCGGGATTCACAGTTTACACCAGACAGGGGTGGGGGGCTTCAGCCCAGAGTTCAAGCTTCCCAGATTTCTCTAAACTCCGGCCTCTCCGGATTAAGGGAGTAAATCCCTGACGCCACAGGCCAGGTCAAGGACAAGTTCTCCCCCGCCCTAGTCCCCCCTCCTGGGCGGGGATTCACCCCCCCTTCCCGGATGAAAGGTACTAAAGAGACGCGGGGCTGGGGGGGTGCGCGGAGGGCCTCAGCCCCTTGATGTTCCGGTTGAACAGGTGCGGGTGAAAAGGAGGCGGACCCGGCGGAAGCGTCTGCCAGGGGGGGCAGTGCACTAGAAGGGGGGCAGCCTCCTCCACCCCTACTCTCTCCGCTGGTCTTCCCCTCTCCTCTCCACCTGCCCTTCCCCCGCAGGAAGCGTTCCGGGCCGCGAGGTCTTTGAAGTGTAGCTGAAGCCCCCTGGGCTGCTTTATCCCCTCCCCCACTTCACCCTCCTGGTGGGGGGGGAGCTTGACCTTTGGTCCCTGCGGGCGCCGACAACCCCCCCCTCCAGGAAGTGGTGGTGGGAGGCAGATTTCGTCCTTATTCCCCACAACAGTGTTGAGGTTGAAGGCTTTGGATTAACATCCCCTCACTTCTTCACCAAACCCAATTTTAGGAACTTTAATTCTTTAGGGTATTGTGAGTTTATTTTATTTGTGTGCAGACACAGAGGTCAAGTGTATCCGCGAGGACCTTCGTAGTTGGAGGTCTCTAACTTGTGTGTGTCTCTAAGGGCGCCTGCAGGGCAGAAGCTGGAGTTTCTCTCTGGGGAGGGTCAGGCTGTGTGGTCAGCCTAATGGGGTGGCTGTACGTGGACATCTCGGGGTGTCACTAAGGAGTCTGAGTTCCTGCACAAGCGAATGCATCTCGGAGCTAGATGGGAAGCTCCCAGAGGGCAGGAATATCTGTTTTGTTCACTGCCGCACCCTAAAGGCTGGCACACTGTTAAGCGTCCAATAAATATTTGGTGACGGAATAAACGTGTGTAAGTGAGTTTCTACCCTCCAGAGAAGACTCCGAAAAGGGTCCACCAGCTGCCATCGAAAAGAGACTGCAGATCTGAAGCAACAAGAGGCCCATGTTGCTCCTGCTGCTTTTGACGTCCCTTCCCTGATTATCTCCACCTCCAAGTTTTCCTGGGGCTTAAGAATCAGATGCAGAGACGAAAATCTGGGATAACCAGATAAAATCTGGGGGCTGAACAGTTGGGCAGGAGAGGAGGACGCCGATAAGAAGAACAGGCAGGATAGGGCTCGGGAATGACAACCAAGAGCGAGAAAAAGAAAGAGGGAAAAGCAGCACAGAGCGAAGCAGCGGAAAAGCTCCCTACCAAGC